AAATACATATATACTACAAACACAAGCACGCTTATATATATATATATATATATATTGTGAGTACTTGTTGGCTCATTGTTACACGCACACTACAGTGTATTACTATTACATAATACAGTTCATTAGAGTAGTGATTTAGCTTGTGTTACCCTATGTGCCACACAACACTTATGTATACTCAAATTTTATGACCATGTGAATTCACATGTGTGAATTCTCATAGAATAGTGATGTCACAAATATTCTGAAAACTGATGACAGTCCTGGTCGGCCCAAATCCTGGCCAAGATTTTGATCGGCCAAAACCTAACCCTAAACCCCTAGTGCTCAGTTCACAGTCAATCACAACCCCCCGCTACGATTGCGTGTCGGCATAGCTAGCATGACACGCCGTCGTAGCCTTACGGTGTCGGAGCACAGTCGCCTAGCGACCCTGCCCCGTGTACGTCAAAGAAAAAGAAAGACAAAATAAAAACTACCTGTGCGCACATCGTGTGTGCATCAAGAGAGGCTTACTCTTCACCCCCACTTGGGAGGTGGAGTTCGTCCACCCTACCTCACCCTTGAGGATTTCACTACGGCAACTAACGATGACCCGGCACTTCCACCCCATCCTCGGACAACTGCAACTCGCCCCACGCCCGGAGGCGTCCTCGCCTGTACGTTCCCGACTGAGCAAAGGCAAAGCACCTCTCCACTTGGCGTTTGAAGTGTGCTTTCTTCTTCTCATCCGAGAACATGCGCTTCAACAGCTTGTTGTATCGCTTGTGAAGCTTACCCTTAGACCCTGGTACCAACGGTGTGTAGCACTCCAGGTCCGTCTCGTCACACCACATCTGCCACCTGCCCCAGACCGAGCTCATAGCAGTAGACTACGTACGCTCCTTCTTGGTTCGACGAAGGCAGTGTCCTATTGCCTGCTTGTACCCGTCCTTCTTGTCACAAAGCGGCGAATGGTATAGGAGCCAATCCTCGTACGGACCATTCGGGCGATATCGCATGGACGTCCTCGCATATGCTTCCTTCGTGAGTTTTCCAATGTGCGGTTTCAGCTCCGCCCTAAGAAACTTGCGATGAGTGCCGTCCGCCATACCCACCACATGAGTGAGTGGAGCCTGCACTGACACCACCTTCACTGGGCCACCCCACCTTGCTGACAGGCCGTGTGACTTGCCTCGCAACCGATACCATACTTGCGAACCAACTGGCAACAACAGCACATATTCACGCCTGATGTTGGCAGGAGTCTGCTGTTCCAACTGAGCACGACGGTTCCGCACTGCTGCAACAGCATCGTGGACCATCGCCTCTGTCCCCTTCTCCGATTCCAGCAGCGACAACACCCGATCTTGTAGCTCCAGTCGCTTCTGACCGTTGAAGTCTCTGCCCGTCATATAGAAACAGGGCGAGAAACCCGTGACCGAATTACGCGTAGCATTGTAGATCCTCACCATCTCGTAAACCAGGTGCAACCAGACATGCGGAGAATCATCTGCTGCTTCTATCTCCCTGCGCAACAAGTCCTTCATCGTCCTGATAAGGGTCTCTGGTCGCCCGTTGCTCTGATGCCGATCCACCGTGATCCAGTGTGGTTCTATGTTGCGACGCTCGCAGAAGGTCGTCACGTCCCCGTTCTGAAACTTCTTGTCCGCGTCCATCACCAGCCGCGCCGGTAAATCCCACGCTAAGACTTGCTCCTCCATGAAGCGAACCACAGCCGGGCCGTCCACGTTAGGACCAAACACCCTCGCGAATATCTTGTGTAAGATTCTGTCTATTGAGGCGATACTAATGCCTGATAAATAAATAAATAAACGCGTAGGTAAATTCTAAATATCGTGTAAATATCAAAGTAAATAAACGAAATGAGACATTTAGTAAAGTTAGGTATGCCTCGTGAAAACAGCAATACTCTGAGGGATTGTGAGGCTGAGACATTGCCTATATATAATCCTCTCAGTACTGTTTCCGCCGAAGGGATTTTATTTAGTGTTTTGTTGTCGCTCTATTAGAAACTATGGTATGTTTCATCGGGGCGAATCCGAGAGACTCATAAAGTCCCATCTTTAGAAAAGAAAATGAAAATTACTCTTGATGTCCTTAGTTATTGTCTTAACCACTAACTTGCCACTATCAAGAATTACCGACTTAGCCTTCATTAGACTGGCACATCTGGTTGGCTGATCGGGGGACCAACTAGGTAACATTAATAGTCCCTAGAAACCTATATTCGGTTGAGCCATCTCGCTACCGAAGTATTCAGATGTAAATAAATTTGGAAAGTAAATAAAGTTCTATTAATAGAACTAGACCAACTCTTTATGTTTGGTATTTTACTAAGGCGTTTTAATGGCCTCGTCCAAATATCTGATATCTAAAATAGAAAAGGTATTAATTAATAAAACCATTAAAAACCATTTTAGGAAACTTAAGTTCCTCGTGCTATTAAGAGTACATTTAGGAAACTTAAGTTCCTCGCACTATTAAGAGTACATTTAGGAAACTTAAGTTCCTCGTACTATTAAGAGTACGTTTATAATTTGCGTACTGCTTAAGAGTACGTTTATAACATAGAGTCTAATGTGGAGGCCCGGCATATTACACAGCCCTCACTCAGCTTTGAGACCCATGAGAAGCAAGTTACTCACTCAAGCTGATTTTGGGTCAAAAAGCGAGAAAGGAAAAACGGGTCGAAACTTTAAGTAGCATAACATATAGTTAAGTTTCTCAGGCGGAGAAGTTAAGCGTTCTCGGTTACCCTGTGAGTTTTGGGCTTAGGTCCGGTAGGTCCGTGGTGGTCGACTGGACGTTTCTTACGCTTCAAAGTCTTAAGCACATATGAAGGATGAGCATTAAAGCTCGGGATAAATGCTGTAGACGGATAAGTTTTAACTTCCGTTCCTTCAGACGCGTACCCACTTAAGGTGGTACGGCCAATCATCTGCATCATCCGTTAATGCAGTGCGCAAGAAGAACTTAAGTCTTCTACGGCGCGTTTCATTCGCACCTTGCGTTTGCGGTTTATATGGCACACCTCTCTTATGGCATATGCCTAATGCGAGTACTAGCGATTCCATTACGTCATCGCAGAACTCACTACCGTTATCAGTGCACATAATACCCGGCCGCCCATGGTCAGCAAAGACTTGGCAACATAATTCTGCCACGGTCTGCGTATTCTTATCCTTTAATGGATAGATCAAGTTAAACCGTGACGCCACATCAAAGAAGTGGCATACGTAACGGTCGCCTGTGTGCTCGGACGTGGGCAGGTGAACCAGATCAATGATGACCCTGCGCCAAGGACATCTTCAGTCACACTCTTAAGCGGTGCG